TTAATAAGCAACTGCACTTAAATATATATTAATTACTACAAGTTTTGACTTAGAATGAGGTATCCAGAAGGACCACATTCTAATTGTGAGAAGCTGCTTAACTAGTTATAAACACACAGAGTTCAGCTTTTAGAACTGCAACTGCATGACATTCAAATCTGCATATCCTTAAACAGATCTGAATGTTGCCTTGTTAAGAAAAAGCCAAGAAATTAATATTTATGATTGTGTTAACTGTAGATCAGTGATCTCCGAAGTTTTTTGATCACAGGCTCTTATCAGTGAAAGAAATTTTAAGCATTCACTCCCAATACATGTATATTTATTTATTTATTTATAGAAGTGTAGTATTACTGAACTTCTAATACTTTCCTCCTGTACCCCAGTGGTCTTGCCTGCCTCCTAGGCTGCTGTCACCCCACTTTGGAGACCACTGGCCTAGATGAAAACATGCCTAGGAGGTAGTGACACTGGCAATGTCTTTACTGGCAGTAGTGCAAATAAAAAGGGGAGAAAGCTATACCATTTTAAACTCTTGGCAGAGAGTATACAAGGAATATAAATACAAGTATACAAAGTAGAGGCTTTCAGGCACCAGTTTTGAGTCACTGCTGAAAGCAGTTAAAGCAAAATCTAAAGCAGAGGAGAAAAACAGAATGAACAAAATTCATATACCTGGTTAAATTACTAGTTCCATAAACCTATTCAAAGCTAGTAGTAGCATAACTTAGCCCACCTCTGGACAAACATACCATTTATTTCTATTCATGTACCATAACTCACACAATTAAGGATTAATTAAATATCTGTCATATGGATTTTTTAAATGGATTAAGAATCATTTTAGTGAGTTAACGAACTTGGAATGACAAAGGCAGGAAATCTGTAATGATGGCTATACAAACAAAAGTTTTTTCTCTGCTCGTAGATACCTGAAACTATTCACTTTCCTACCTCTTGAGGAGATTGCCCACATCATGGAAATGCATGCTAAAGAACCTGAAAAATGGGGCCCTCAGAAACGACTGGCTGCAGAAGTAACCAAGCTTGTCCATGGCAGAGAGGGGCTAGAATCTGCTAAGAGGTGAAGTTTGTTTTGTCAAGCAGTTTTGTTTCAGATTTTTTAAATGGTAATGATTCTCTTTTCAGAGACTATTTAAATGTATTTATTGTTGCTTAGATGTTAAAAGAGAAAAATGTAATAATTCTGTAGACTTAAAAATACATTAAGGATATAAAAAAAATCCGCAGGGCAGTGGGGTACAATAAAAAAATGGGGGTGTATTTTAAGTAATTCTCTTAGTTTGTGGACTCAGGAGAAATTGGGGAGAGGAATCTGCTTGTTTGAATAGCACTTTGTGTGAAAATGAGTCTGGCTCTGTATTTTGAATGATCTTTGTTCTCTCAGGTGCACTAAGGCCCTTTATTACAGTAGTGTGGAGGCTCTGGAAGAGATGTCTGACCTAGAGTTACAGGAACTTTTTAGACAAGCTCCTTCTGCTGAACTGATGCTTGAACCTGGAATGAGTGTTCTTGACTTGTGTCGCATAGCAAATGCCATTCCAGATGGACCTAGTGGGTAAGTTCTCACCTGGTGCTCTACTCACTTAAACAGTTGTAGCAGTATGGGGTCAGAAGTTAAATGATCAGGACAGCCAAATCAAGCAGAAACAGGCTGTGATCTACATAGGCGCATTAAAGAAGAGGCGAGCACACAACCTCATTCTGTTTTGAAGTATATGCTAACACAGCCTTATGTACCTCAGCTGTAAAATCTACACCTGATCAAGGGACAACCTAAAGCAACAGCCTAGGTTTCCCTACACCTCTCAGACAGAATTAGAGTAGTAGAGGCTAAAGTTAGTTTCAATCACTCTTGACCTGGACTGAAAATGAAGTGCAAGAGAATTAAAATTTACTCAATTATGGATCTAAGAAAAAAAAACCCTTAAGTGGACTTTCAATACTTAATGGCAATAAGTAGTTTCCTTTTGCAATTACCATTTATTTTTGTTTTGGTTTTTTTTTTTAAGGTACCAGAAAATTACAGATGGAGGAGTTTCAATAAATGGGAATCGTGTAACTAATCCTGAGACTGTTCTTATTCTCGGACAGCATATTCTCAAGAATGGAGTATCATTACTTAGGGTTGGAAAGAAAAATTACTATGTTATAAAATGGCTGCAGCTGTGACAACAGAGAATCTCCCTAAAACAACAGGTCATTTCAGCTCTGTGGCTTGAAGACATACTTGAAGATGTTTCTGTCCTGTGCATTACTATGCAGCTCACAAACTGCCCAATACCATCGATTTTCAAAATGCACCAACAGAGTTCAAATAAAGCAGCTGAGGTATACCAGTAAAGAGGTTTTAGATATTCTGCCTTATTCAAAGCACCATTCCTAAGAGGAGCTGCACAAGAAGACAAGGAAAAGATTCATTTCAAAGTCCAAAGATGGAGATCTTTGGATCTCAAAGGAGGCTTCCCCTCCTTTAACAACCATGTGTTGGAGGAGAACAGTGCCTGGTCACTCCACAGGAGAACCCACAGCCAGATGAGCAAAATCATCCTCCAACCCAGGACTTCTTACAGCCAATGTGTGCTCACCTACCAGAGAAACCTGTGCCAGTGGGCAAGGACAACTAACCTGCAATCAACCTGCAATGTTTGTTCAGAACAGGTTTGCTTTGAAGGAATCTGCAGAAAATTCACAATAAAGGAAAAGAATGATTAAGCACTAATAAGATTCTTCTTGGTTATTTATGTATGGGGGCACATTGCACCAAAGCTTTCCAGCCTTCATGTGGGAATGCACAGCAAAATCACTTTTTGAAATGTGGAAGTATAGAGCCTCTCAAAGCTTAAATCAACTTCATGAATCCCTTTTAAGCCTTCTGTGTGCATAGTATGACTTACCAGGTGAGTGATGCTCATTCTGCTTCTTGGTCCTCTGAATTCACTGGATGCATCCCTGCTATCTGTCATCTTTGATAAAAGGTATATCTTGGCACTAGTTCTTTGGCCTCTACAGTCAGTTGCAATATAATATATTATACCACAAGATCTTAATCTGACCTTCCTGGATGTGGTCACTCAGCACCATCTCTTCTGTTGTCAGAATAAGTCATGGTAGTTAGGCTGGTTTAAAACCCCCCAGCCTATGAGAGGAATGGGGAAATTATAAATTATAATGATACGTCTCTGTTTCATAAAGAAAAAAAGTAGCTGAGTCACTTCTACCTTAAAAAAAGGACTCTAGACATTGTCTGAGCTCCCAGACCACTTTATGTTGCTTGTTAACTTTGCCTTAAGAGAAAGCATGTGGAGGAGAAAGGTGAGGAGAAGGGAAGGCTAAGTGCATCCACCCAATATACCTGCCTTGTTTCTTAAACAACAGAAGCACTAGTGCAAATCAGAAGCATGTGGGAACAAACTACACCAATAGACAGCCATGTTTGCCTCCAGAGAAAAAAAAACAGAGCAGATTTGATAGTTTCTTTCTGATTACAGGAAATAAAATCCCAAGAATAGAGAAATTAATAATGATTCGTGTCTGATCTCTTTCCTGCCTTTTTTCCCTGATTACCAAATGGTGCAGATGCACACATATACCCACTTTTAATAAGTTAGTAAAAGGATTTTATTCATTTTTACAAATACAAAATAAAAAAGGGGAAGTCACTTCTTTGCAGATAAGGTTTTTAGTAACACCCATAAATTCTTAAGAAATTTAGTCTGTGCTTCCTTTTGACCAATTCCTAGCAAACCAAACCCTTCCCTGACTCTTTCCAAAGAAACAGCTGCATACAACCACTACTTGATATGACTATACAAGGTTATCACACTTGAACACTTGGGCCAAGGATCAAGGATGACCAGAAAAATCAAGTATCCTTCCTTAGCCTGATCTTATTTATCCCTATACCCCAAAACAGATATGCTCAGGTAATCAGAAACAGAACTTGTTCAAATGTGAACAAGTAGTAACTAATGTTAAAGCATTTAACATGGCTACAAATATGTGATTCTAAAGTGCAAAAAGTAATTTTTTTGGACAGGTAAACTTGAAGCTATCAGAGCATGAAAGCACCTTCAGTGCCACTGAGCACAAAACTATATTCAATGGTTTTACACTTTGAAGAATCAATCATCTGGCTCTCACCTCAAAGCACAGAGTTTGGCTTGCAATAAAAAGCTCACACAGTGGAGATCTTCAGTAACTCCTGAAAACACCAGCTACCCATCACCCTCACAGCTGAAGGATAAAACCATAGGAAAAAAAATTACTCAAGATAATTCCATTCAAATTACCAACAGGGCAGGGGCACAACAGACTGCCAAGTTGTTTGCCCTGCTGTAGTCTATAAAGCATTGAGTAAAGGCAGGTTTTACACAAGGTCTGCTCTGTTTACTTCAGAATGAGGTTTGAAGCACAAAGACACCCTCGCCTTGCCCATCTATTCCACTACGAGAAATCTGAACCTGACTACTAAACCCTGACAATCTGTTCACATTGGTACACTGTGTTTTAGTTACAGGAGTACCACACAGCTCAGGTACTAATGTCAGACATTTACTAATCTGACCTTGGCTACAGTGGTTCTCCCCTCCATGATTCTTTCCCCACCGGAGAGCAAATTATTTTAAGTTATCTAAGATTTGTGCATTAATGACAAAATTATTTCAACCTTAAATTAAATAAGGTGGGCTAGGAGGCAGCTGCAAACCATCATTTTAATCTGGGAGTTTTTCGTTGCTGACCTCATTAGGTTTTTTTCTGTAGTTTACTCATTATTTCTTTTAGTGCTGGCAGCAACAGTGACATTTTAAGTATTTTAGTTCAATTCCAGAAAACAGCTTATTTCAAACCTAGCAACAGCCACAAGCAGCCTGTCTACACTATTAGTTATGCAACTCTTCAAGAAGTCAGAATGTAGACTTGAACAAGAGCAAGTGCAAACTTAAGTATGGCTGTACAAATACAGGCAGTTACACTTTTAACTAAGTCCTGTCACTTGAACTACAACTCAGTTCAAAACTATTTCTGGGATAATTCATTTTGTGTATTATCTGTTTATTAAATAACAGGATTGTTACAGCGTGGACTTTCAAAGACTTGCATTAAGGATTACAAATCAAGTTCATTTCTTGGCACTCAAAACATTACCAAATTGAAACTTTTTGTGAAATTTAAAACAAAAGAAGTTGTAACATTTCAGAAACCAAATTTACACTGTGGAAATTTTACATGACATTACAGAGCCAGGTTATCACTTGCAAGAATTTCTTAAATAAATGAAATTCATTTGCTTTAGGCAGCATTTCAAAACTTACAAGTCAGATTACTTCTTCACAAGAGACTGTTGACTGAACTTTGGGAGTTAAAGCTTAGGTAGCAGTTCACTTATGGACGGCACTACCTTGTTGAAAACATACTTCTTATGTGTTGAAAGTAAAAGGTGATAGAGGTGTCAGGTGAATTCCAAACAGAAATGAAATGCTTTTGACAAAACTATTAAAACTTTCCACTGATCACCAAAGCTGATTACAAAAGTGGTTTGCACTTCAGTCACATTTCTTAAATCTGAGAACTACCATCCCTGGACACAATGCAAGAAGTTAAAATTACTTGCTTTGTATTCATTACATGTAATACATACACCGTGACTTTTTAGGCTGTTTAAAAATACATTATATATTTCTGTGTGAATTATCTCAGATTATACATAAAGTATCCAAAAGTTGCACCTGCCAGACTTGTGCTTATATTGATGCAAAACTGAGGATTACCGTGAGAAAGATGCATTTTTAAACAGCTTCTTGTAAACTGAATTTTTAAATTTTCAATCTTTAGCAGCTTACAAAAGGAATTCTATTTCTAACTGATTAAAGGCAGAAGGAAGTGCATTTGGTAATAAAAAAAAACCTCATTATACTGGCCCAATACCACAAAGCCATGGAGGTTAAGGGCAGTGTCCTATTTTTCATGCAAGTTGTGTTAAAGATAAAATATCAGCAACACTAGAGTAAACATTTTCACTTTATACAAAAAGAGTGAATCTGCTTGAAAAGTACATGCAAGTGCGCTGGCTGGAGTTTAAATAAATTTTTATTCATAAAAATTAAAATGTTTACTTTATAAAGGCTAGTGTGATCAATAGTTATCTGTACGAATTATAATCAGAAGAAAAAAAAAATCAACTTAACTTCCAACCTAAAATTTCATTATTTTATGATTGTCCTCCAAAAAAAAAAAAAAAAGCGCTACTTACAGCACAATAAAATTTCCTCAAAAGCAACTCTAATCTCTGGTATAAATATTCCAATTCCACAGACTGTCTTTCATACTGTCATACATTCCAAAATTCAAAGAAGTTTTGGGGATCCCCTTCTCCCTGGCCAACTTAAATCTGTTTTTAAAAGAAACACTTATTATCCCGTTACAGTTTTGAAATCCGTTTTTATTTTTCAGTTCTGCCAGAACAAATTTACTATGGGATGGTCCAGGGGCTTGGTCCCGGGGGGGGAGGAAGGGGGAGATGTCCTTGTACCTGATTATAATCCCCAGCATTCATACACAAGCTCCAGTGCACATGAAAACCTTTGCACCCACTTTTTAGCAGGCTGCTATTGTTCACAAGCTCCAGGCTAATTCTTCCTACATGATACTCCATTAAATCAAGTTCAACGTTTTGTCTGCAGTTTAAACATTTTGGGGAAAAAAAATAATGTGGACACACATACATAGTAATACAGTCGACATGTCTACTGTGCTATAAAATTGATACCTCCATCTGTCACAGTGCATGCAATATATTCATGAAAGGAAATACTCGGTGCTTTCTTCTCTTCACAGTATTTAAACTTCTATTGTAAAAGCAGCTTAAAACTATGCCACAAGACTACACCGGCCGTCTTAACCACAGGCAACCTGTTTAGCAAGTCAGGCACTGGAACTTGAACGTTTTTTCCCCAAGTTCAAATGAGACTGTCACTGAGACAGAAGACTTGGTCTGCTTTAATTTGCACCAGAAAGCTGGTAAGGAAACATTTAGAGCCATTTATTATGTGGATTAAATACGACTTCTTTTGCAAAATACAGCATATTGTCCTGTTTGCAAATCAAACCAACTGTCTTTACATGAGCAGATTTACACAGTTGCAGTACACAGATAAGAGTTCATAAATAAAAATTCTACTCCGTATACCATGCCTAGCAATTTTCAAGCCAATGTAACCTCCAATGCATATAAATAGTGTGGCTGATACAGTCTTCACCAAAGATGTGTCTCACGAATCTCTGCAATGATCTGGCTGGCTCGCTGCAGGGCCTGCACACACAAACACACAGAAGCCAGAGCTGGTTAGTTTTTCTGTAGAGGTTTCTCAGGGAGGTAACAGCAGCAGTCTAGGAAGTGTAAAGTTAAAAACTTATTTTAAGCTAATCAGTTTCATTATGAAATGAGTGGCAACCCATTAAATTTTCAAGAAGGGCAGGCTTTTTCAACACACACAGTTTTAAAGTTTTAAAACCTCTTCAAAATAAAAGAATCTGCACCTACTTTTTATGACTTTTAACATTCTGTAGCATTCATTGCAGTGTAGTCTGCTAAACTGCAGATTTAAAAACTCATAATACCAACTAATATTGACATTATTTAAAGTATTACTCAAATTTGGAGAAATCTGAGCTATGAGTTTGTACAAGTGGTATGTCAGGGTGTCCAGTCTCAAATAGGCC